TATAGTTTTATTGATTTCAGAGAGGAAGGGAGAGAGAGAGATAGATAGAAACATCAGTGAGGAGAGAGAATCATTGAGCAGCTGCCTCCTGCACACCCCTCACTGGGGATCGAGCCCACAACCCAGGCATGTGCCCTGACTAGCAAACGAACCGTGATCTCCTGGTTCATAGGTGGATACTCAACCACTGAGCCACACCAATAGTTTGTTGATGTTCTCATTTAAAACAGAAACATAATATAATCATGGAGCTGTTGAATGCTTAAGTTAAAAAATTTTAGAGATATCTACTCATAAAAATGTATCTGAAAAGAAGAGATGGAGACCATGGTTCTCTGAAAAGGACTGTAATGGAAAGCAAAGTGATTAGAATTTGATTGTAAGAAACTAAGAAATATACAAAAATTTGTATGTTTAATTTGTCTCTTCAAATTTGTTTGCATGAGGGTACTCTTCCGTGTTAGAGGTTCTGATTTAGACCAAGGATAGACAATCTAACTTCAGAATCACCTGAAGAGTTTATCAAGAAATTTTTTTCCTAATACTAAGTTGAGAAATCTTAGTTATGACAGCACCATTGAAAAAGAAGGGTTAAAACCAAATACCTGCCCAGCTGGCATGGCTCAGTGGTTGAGTGTCAACCTATGAACCAGGAGGTCACGGTTCGATTCTGGGTTAGAGCACATGTCCAGGTTCTAAGCTCAATCCCCAGTGTGGGGCATGCAGGAGGCAGCTGATCAATGATTCTCTCTCATCACTGATGTTTCTATCTCTTTCTCCCCTCCCTTCCTCTCTGAAATCAATAGAAATATATATATTTTTTAAAAAGTACCTGTTCCCTGTTTCTTTTTCAGGAGAGTTGCGCAGGCAGCATTAGTAGCCATGTCCAGGGCCAGCTTCTTCTCATTGTTTCTTAAATCTGTTCTAGCACCTTTCCCAACACAAGAAACATAAATTAGATGTTTTTGAACACTGTAGCACAGCAATACTCTTTCCACCAAAACTGACTACTTTTGGCAAAACTAACTGGAGAACTTTTCTGGCTCAGAGGTAAGTTTTTTCAAAGCAGAAAAACTTTCTCAAACCAATAATAGTGTACTTGGCATCTTTAATCAGGGAGCTTGTTGCTGCACCTGTGATATTATGCACACTCAAAATATAGCCTTTCCCTTCAAGTCCCTGTAAAATTTGATGTGAATTTTTCAGCGAGGAGCTTATCGTCCTCTGGTAAATCCTAAATCAGTTTGACCCCACTAGTTACTATGCCTCAGCATGATTGTTTGGAGAGTAAATTCAATATGCCCTTTGCCCCTTCTGTTCAAGGTCTTTGGGAAAGATCATGTGGGTTGAGCTTGAGGGGGGATTAATATTTTAGGTCTATAAGTATATTCTCATGTATATTAGCAAAATAGCAAATTAATAAAACTTAGCATAATTCCCATAACCTATCTTCTACATACTTTTTTCCTTGTCTTAATTGTGTTAAAAATTATATCAGCATTCATGAATACATTCTCATCATTAAAGTTTCAAAATACAGAAGTATGCTGACCAAATCCATATGTCCCATTTTAGCTCCCAACAAATGCACCCTTCCCCATTTTCTACCTTCTTCAGAGGTAGAAAACCATTCCCCGCAAGTAGGCTTCAGTTATCTCCTTCAAGTACATGGGTGCATTCACAGACATATATGTACATCCACACAAACCCAAACTACATATATTGGTCTGTCATTTCCTTTTTTAGCTGATGTTTAATGGACACAAAATTATATTAGTTTCAAGTGTACATGATTCAGTATTTATAGATATTGTGAAATGATCACCACAATGTCTAGTTAACATCCTTCACCATTCAATTACAAAAAACTTTTTTTTACGTGATGAGAAGTTTTAAGATCTACTCTTTTAGCAACTTTCAAATATGCAATACAGTGTTATTAACTATATCACCATGCTGTGCGTTACACCCCCATGACTTATTTTATAACTGGAAGTTTATACCTTTTGACTCCAAGATTTTTTTAACTTAATTTATAATGGTACTACTTCCTTTGTAGCACACATACTTATAGCTCAACCTATTTAAATGTTTATAAGTATTCCATCTTGTGGATGGGCCAAAATTTATTTAATCTCTCCTCTATTGGGGGGCACTTAGCTGTTGTTCCTAATTTTCATGATGGCAAACAATTCTGCATGAACCTCCTTGAACAACATCTTTGTATGTGTGTGTGTACTTCTGAAGGATGTTTTCCTAAAAGTGGTGTTGAAATGTAAGAATATGGACATATTTAATTCTGCCAGCTCCTGTCAGACTGCTTCCCAAGAAGGCTTTAGCAATTTTCACTTTCTGCCACAATGTGTGAGAGTACCATTCTCTTTGCAACCACAGCCTCCTCAACAAATTAGAGCCATATATGTAATTTTCAATTTTCTAGTGGCTGCATTTTCCAAAAGTGAAATTCATTTAAATAATATACTTTATTTTGCCCTGTATATCTGAAATGTTATCACTCCATCATGTAACCATTATAAAAATGATTATGATAGCTTACTTTTTTTAATTAAGTCTTCAAAATCTGGGGTGCATTGTACACCTATAGCACATCTCAGTTCACACTAGCCTTATTTCAGGGGCTCAAGTGTGCACGTGGCCACTGGCTCCGTAGCTGATAGCACAGCTCTCGGCATAACTTTGGGCGGAGCACAACTAAAGTGGTGTCCAATCTTTTAGACCAAGAGTTTACATCATCAATATACTTTACATCAAAAACATTTCCTCTCCTATATGCTAACATTGCTCCAAGGAGCCCTAACGATAGTATGTCCATGTAACAGGGCCTTGGGGCTCAAGCATCTTATATTATAGCCTTCCGGACCAGGGTGTTATGCCTGGTTCGCTGTAACGGTTTATGAGTATTTGTGGGACAGATGGCTGAATGGACAGTCAGTCCATAATTTCACAGTCCCCTCTGATTTATGTAAAAACAGGGAATTAAGGGATCTTCTCTCATTCTCTATACATCTAACACCTGCTCAGTCGAGCAGGATACTGCAGCCACAGAAATCTTTCTTAGCTATCAAGACTTTCCTGTGAGAACAGGAGCCTCAGAAACTTTACCTCTCAGAGAGGACCTCCTCTGTCTGTTCTCTCTCTCTCTCTTTCTTTCTCTCTCTCTCTCTTTCTCTCACACACACACACCACAACACCTTTTTCTCCTTCTAAGGTCCTTTAATGCTACAGAAATGTACAATAAATTCTTACTAAAATTAATATATATAATTTTAAAGCTTACCAAGTTTTAATTTAAAATTAAAAACTTATATAAATCATACAAATCATCGAAATAATTCCATCTTATCATAACAACTCTGTGATACAGACAAAGTAGAGGTTAAAAATCCTTTAAATTAAGGAGGCTATTATTTTTCCTACTCTTCCTATTCTTCCTGCTGGTGTAATTGGATGTAGCCTATTTTTCAGGGTAAGCAAAGACCAGGTAAACTCAGCACACTTTACCTTTTGCCAGAAGCAACTCAACAATATCTGCATAACCCTTCCAGGCAGCAGCATGCAAAGCTGTGTCTCCCAACTTGTTCTATGGTGATAAAAAGAGAAAGTAGCTTAATCCCCTCACCTTTTTCACCCAGCCCTCACAACCCCCATGCCCTCTGACGGCTGTCAGTCTGTTTACTATCTATGAGTCTGTTTCTATTTTGTTTGTTAGTTCATTTTGTTCAGTAGATTCCACATGAGTGCAATCATATGATGCCCTGGCTGGTGTGGCTCAGTTGCAATCAAAAGGATCGTCCTGTGCACCAAAAGGTTGCCGGTTCAATTCCTGGTCAGGGCATATACCTAGGCTGTGGGTTTGATCCCCAGTGGAGGCATATATGGGAGGCAACCAATTGATGTTTCCCTCATCTCTCTCTCTCTCTCTCACTCTTCCTCTCTCTCTCTTTCTCTATCTCTCTCTCCCTCTCTCTCCCTATCCCTCTCTCTAAAATCAGAAAAACATACACTCAGGTGAGGATTTTTTTAAAAAAAGAAATATAGTACTTGTCTTTCTCTGACTTGCTTATTTCACTTAGCATAACCGGGTGGTGAACACACAAAACATTGTACAGATAATGTACTATAGAATTATACATTGGAAACCTATGTGACTTTATTAACCAATGTCATCCCAATAAATTCAATTTTTAAAAGTAACAAAGAAAAAAAAAGTAACATTTTAAAAATAGAGTGTAGACTGAAAACACAGGAATTTAAGCTTACTCTAAGTCAGTGATTTTCAACCTTTTTCAACTCATGGCACACACAAAAAAATAATTAATGTAATTACCTATCCTTTTTGCTCCAACGCAACTTTTAATTAATATATTTATTTCTAAAACACCAATTTGTGCCGAAACTGGTTTGGCTCGGTGGATAGACCGTCGGCCTGCGGACTGAAGGGTCCCAGGTTCGATTCCGGTCAAGGGCATGTACCTGGGTTGCGCGCACATCTCCAGTGGGAGATGTGCAGGAGGCAGCTGATAGATGTTTCTCTCTCATCGATGTTTCTAACTCTCTATCTCTCTCCCTTTCTCTCTGTAAAAAAATCAATAAAATATATTTTAAAACAAAACAAAACAAAAAAAAAACACCAATTTGTTATTCCACTTATTCATGCATCCATTGGTTAATTCTTGTATGTGCCCTGACCAGGATTGAACCTGCAATTTTGGCCTACCAGGATGACACTCTAATCAACTGAGCTACCTGGCCTGGGTAAAAGTGACTTTTTAAAAAATCAGGTGCCTATACATGTATGTATATAAGGATTTCTGGTACTAAGAATTAACTAAACAAACACAACCTTATTATACAACGTGACCAGGATATGTCCTATATATTTATGGTTCAAGACAGGGCATTCACACAGGACAGCTACTATTGTGTTGTCTGTGGTCATTTTTTTATTTGACAATCTAAGGGAAAAGAGGTCAGTGCCCCTGACTAAATAGTCAGGTATTGCACGTTTTAAAAATTCTTGTAGCACACCATTTGAAAATTACTGCTCTAAGTAAACCTCAAATGAGAAGAAAGTTATAAAATCATATAAAATTCCAAAGAGGGAAAGGAGAGTCAAGAGATGGGAGATGAGACATGTAGGGAGATGGAATGGGATGGAGGAAGAGAAACTGCAGTGACAGAACCCAAGCGGAAGCACAGAGGCCTGCAGAGCAAGACACCAGGAGGAAGCCAGCAGACTTCCTTCCATAGAAACCTGGCATGACCTGGGAACAGGAGATGCCTAAGAAAAAGTGTTTATAAGAAGTAACCCCAGAACCCCAGATCACCTGCCTCTCTCCTTGCTGCCAGAGGATTCAGTACAGATGCTAGAATTACCCTGTCAAGAAATTAACCAGAAAGTTTTCTAGCTCATGGACACTAGGTACAAAAGAAGGTGGCAATAAGGCCAGGAAATACAACCAGGGGCTAGCTGAAAAACCTAAAACCTGAGCAGTAAGACCGCTCTCCCAGGAAGCTGGAGGTTACTTTTCTGTTGACGCTGATCAGCCCCACATGTGGAGGAGGGAGGGAGCACTCATCCTAGCACATAGGGACAACCCAACCAAACAGCCAGGACTTCACCACGTCGCCCAGTGGAGAGGCCCACCAGACAATAAGCCCCACAAGCACACAGAGCTTCTCATTACACTTAAACATGAAGGCACAAAGACACTAGGTATTTGAGGAAAATCTCCTGTATTTGAAAAAGAACCAAAACAAAAAGTCCAATGAATCTCTGAGGGAAATGATACAGTACCGTGAATAGCAGGAAATGTTTTCAAAAGCTATAATTAACATCAGAGATATATGGCAATATTAAATAACGAAACCAGAAATAAAGAACTCTATTTAAAATAACAATCAGAGTAAAAGAAAGAGCTTGAGGTAAAGAGAATTTTAAGATTGCCCCCAAGACTCCTGCTCCTGGCACACACCCACTGTCTAATTCCCTCCCTTTGAGTCGTGGTCGAGACCAGTAAATATAATAAAATATCACTCCCATAATCAGGTGTCTAATCAGTTGATGTGGAGTTCATCAAAAGGGAGATTGTACTGGGTAGGCCTGACCTAATCAGGTGTGCCCTTTCCCAAAGACAGGTACAGTGCCAGAGACACGGTCTGCCACTGGCCTTGAGGAAGAAAGCAAATAGTCATGTTGAGAACTGTCTATAGAGATGAGTGGTCTCAGAAAGCTGAGGTCCACATTACCACCAGTACAAGAAACTCAAGTCTCCTGGCAACCTCAAGAGCTTGGAAAAGGATGTGATCTCCATCTGAGAATCCCACTCTAGCCATACCTATGTTCCAACCTATGAAACCTAAGCAGAGAACCCATCTCTGTCATTTTGGCCTACAGAAAATACAAGGTAAATGGGTGTTATTTCAGGCTGCTATTTTTGTGGTAATTTGTTACATAGCCATAGGAAAGTTATAAAATAGAAAAGGCAACCAAAATAAAACATGAAGATAAAAGTGAGAAAAACCTTAGAACTAAGAAAATTGGAGGTTCAACCTGAGATGTCTAACACAGCTACTAATGGGCATTCAGAACCGAAGAACAAAGAAAATGGTCAGAGAATGAGCATATGAACTATAGAGGAAATAATACAAGATATAGACCCACATTGAAGCCCATCACTGGGAAATTTTAGAACACCAAAGTCAAAGACGTCAATGAAGAGAAAAAGTAGATCACACACAAAAGAATGGGAATCAAAATGGCATCAAGCCTCTCAAAAGCAACCCCAGAGAGTAGAATACCATGGAGGCATGCCTGCAAAATTTGGAAAGAAACCATTTACAACCTATAATTCTGTCAACCAAATAATCAGTAGCAAGCTCCCCTCTCTCAGGAATCTACTTGAAGACATGTGATTCATGATATGATTTTCAAGCACTATGATATGATTTTTTTCATGCCCATAAGCTGCACAGAAAGAACAAGACAGGTGTGTTAAATGACTTTCATGTAAAGAATCTTACCTGTTGGTCCAGTTCAATGTTTGGTTGAGTAAATAGCATTTCTACTATATCTGAAATTCAAGTAGAAAAAATAATAATTTTTTAAGATTTTTTTAAAAGTCTGATAAAAACTAAGCATAATAAGTGTAAAGAAGAGAATTCTTTAGAAGAATCTTCAAGAAAATCCTTACAACAAATTTTTCAAAATATATCTAAATTGAAACCTTCAGACTCTAAAAGGGAGAATTACTTTGGGAATTTTTTTTTTTCCAAAACAATTTGGCTTTTGCATTTTCACATGACATCTATTACTGGAGTATTTTTACATTTGCTATGATACCTAATATTTATATGACTAATTTGTGTTTATTAGATAAAATAAACTGGGTATCTTTTGGGACACAACCATAAATTTCCCTTTAGCTATGTGCTATTTAATTTGTTGGGGTTTTTTTGTTTCTCATTGTGGTTGGGATTATGTTTTTGGGTTGTAGAGAGAGGTGTAAAGAGAGTGGTTGTGGCAGAATGTTGGCCAGTATGAAATACATCTAGAAATTCCATCTGTCATTATTACGAGGGACTATAACAGAGAAAGTTACCAACTGAATCACTAACTCAAGCAAATGCTCTTTCTCCTGAATCTAGCAGTTTGCATTAATCTTCAAATGTATATGATCAAAGCATATGTCAGGGAAAAAGCTAAGCTAGAGGAGTCCATTCTGTCCCTTCCTTCTGTAAGATTAGATATTGGGGTTTGTTTTTAAATGACTGTTGTTTTCCTGTAACTGTGCCAAGTCTGAGGAAAGGAAGCTTCCATTCTTTCAAGTCAAAGAGGTCCATGTAGGAAGGCTGGCTGATGACATTCAACCTACTGTGTTACAAAGAAAGCTTCCAGGATCAGGGCTATTGGCTGATGTTCTAAAGGATTTGAAAAGAATAACCAATTTTTTTTTCATTTCTGTAAATCTGACTCCCCTAGATGAAGTACATTTATCAGAAGCACAGACATTTTTGGTAACAAACAAAATGGAATACCTTTGTGACCCCCGTGACAAGCCCAGTACAAGGCAGTGCTGCCAGCTTTGTCTAAGCCATTGACACCAACTCGGTTGTCCAGACACTCTCTCAACCAGCTCAAGTTGCCTGAAAAAAAAAATTTAACATTTATAAAAACACATGAAAAAGAATTTTGTTTTTTGTTTGGCCTTTAAATCAATTTCATCCTGCATACATTTCCACTTGCAATGGCTTAATCAGCAAGTCTGAAAATAAGACCTGCTGAGTAATGCATCTATTATGGTATATTTTGACTTCCAGTTTATTAATGGAAAGCATTAACATCAATTTTTAATAGTAGGTTAATGGGAAAAGTTGCCTAAATGGGTCTGCTTAAGGTATTTTTACTCTATAAAAAATAGGTATTTTTTTCCTTTGTGAATTCCTGAAATTTGGCAAGGGGGGTGGGGTCAAACCTAAGAAAAAGCAGACACTACCTATATTCTTATTTTAAATGCACTTTCAGTTCTTACAAGAAAAGAAACACTAAATAACCTACTCAGATTTTCTACTCAGATATTAAAGTACAATACTGATTTAAAATCCCCTGGCTAATGCCCTAAATATCTAATTTACAAAAAAAAAGTTTTAAATGTCAGTTTTGTAGCTCTACTTATGCACAATCCTAAGCCAATAATTTCCTTTTGCATATTCAGATTTCAAAATGACCTAAAATAGAATAAAAGGATCCTTGCAAACACTCCCCATGCAGGGTTTCTCAACAGTAGACTTATTGGCATTTGAGGTTGGGAAATTCTTTGTTATCGGTGCTGTCCTGTAGCCTATAGTATATTCAGCAACATCCCCAGCCTCTACCCAAAAGGTGCCAGTGGTATTCCCCTAGTCATGGCAGTCAAAATGTCTCCAGATATTGCCAAATGTTCTAGGGTGTGGAGGGAGGGAATTACCCTCAGTGGAAAACTACTGATCTACAGGATTAGGCCTCAGGTACAAGGCCCAGCCCATTGCTCCCTCCTTCCCTGATTCCACCCTCATCACACACACCATCAACACTCTCCCAAATGCCGTATCCCCTAGAAGCCCCCTGCCCTCCTGCTCTCCTGTTACTCATTCTGGCCTCTGGAGCCTGTTTAACTCAAACACGCTCCCATTGCTGTACATATCACACCGTCTTGTTCTGTCACACACATCTCTCTCTTTCCAGACTTTAACCTCTGGGAGTCACAGACCATTCCTTTCCACTTGCCACTGAGCACGGGGTATATAAGGCACTCAAAAGTGTGAGTGACTGACCATTTAAAATCAAAATTACACGTACCTCTCTAGGATGACAGAAGGCAGAACAGAGACTGCCTCTGGGGGAGACAGGGATTTAACTAGAACGGGAACTTTCGGGGATGACAGAAACACTCTAGATCTTGGATCTTGTTCCTGGTATTGGTTACATGGCTGTACACATTTGTCAAAAGTCACCAAACTGTATAATTAAAATCTCTGTGTGTCACTGTTCTGCATATCTCAGTCTAAAAGAATCACACCTACCTCTTTTTGCAGCTTCATGCAATGGATTGTCAATGGATTCCGCCTGCTCAGCCACTAGACGGGAAAGATAAAGTATAAACCCAGCGTTGAGAGTGTCACCCAAATGGTTCACTAAAGCCTTCACAGTCCCCCAGCTCCCACAGAGCCAAGGCCTTCTGCAATCCAGCTTCCCTTACTGAGAGTGTGTGAGGCGGGGGTGTGGG